GATTCGTTGCCAACGAAACCTGCCTAGCACCTTGCAAAGTGAACGACCTGATGAAAATTGTACGAATAATGCAGTCTGTACAAATTTTGTTCCTACGATCGAAACAACCTTTCAAGTTGATGATTCTTCCTTTCATTCGCCACGTGTAGAGAACGGACCGCCGTCCACATTCACAGAAGATGTGGGACGAAGATGCGTGCAACCTAACCTTCATGTTTCCATCCCAACTGTTCATGCACAGGCATGCTCTTCTCTCGGAACCTTGCCAAATTCCCCGAACGCAATGGTTAGGAAGTTTGTTGCATTTCATAATCGTCGAAGGAGATCGGTAATATTGAAACTGATTCATTCGAGGCGCAATAGACGATATTGTATGTTGCGCCTTCGGGCACTACGCGCCACTAAAGTCGCACGTCGTTTGGACCTTGGATCGTTGTCGTCCGTACGTCATGCTGTGTTCCCCGACTTTGATGCATATGCGGTAGTTGTTGAAAGTACAGTGAGCGGTGGCGGTGCAACAAAACAAGTCCACAGGATGAATAGCGATGAACCGGGGTCTACATCGTATGGAATTTCCACTCGAATGAAAAGGCTTGAAAGACGGGCAAACTGTCATGTTAAACGTATGCGTGCATTGAGAGTTGCGATTAAGAATCGTAGGAGCAAAGATGGATGCTCACAAACGTTTTTTGCGGGGTGTGAGGCAAAGTTTGGTCCCTATAAATATTATTCGAGAAATTCGAGCAACCACCTCTGGCCAGTCGACGGATGCATCTTCTTCTTCGAAGGAAACACATCGTCATTGTTCTTGACCGAGGCAATCGAAAAGTATGTCGGGGAGAGTAGAGCAGTCGCACAATCCGTCCGTTACAGTTCAAAATTCAATGAACAATCGGGAACATAGTGAGCCGGATAATCAGGATGAGCAAATGAATGATTTGGATGATGATCCACCTGATGATATGAATGCACTCCCGTCTGTACCCGTGGCAACACTGTATGCAGCGGTTGAGAACACCGTGGCTATTGTCGCGGGTGCTAGCACGGTTGAGTCATTCGGCATAGGTGGTAGATAACCGTGCAAGTATTGCTAAGTTGTGGAATCATGAACCAAAATGGACAAAAATATGCTGCAGAAAAGGTACGAGACGTTGTCCTCTGTGGGAATGACCTCGAGAAGGGTCGCCGGAGCATGAGATTCTTTCTATTTGGACGTCTCAGAGTTCCGACGGGCGATTTGTTCGAAAGAATGCGAGGATAATCAATAATAGTTTATCTCTTGCATCCTCGCGGTTAAAACAACCGAGCAATGACGTTCAAGGATTCTAGGGCCAACTTCGGGCTCAGGGTCCGATCTATCATCGTGTCTGTGCATTGGCTGTGGGGGAAGGGGGGCGTCCTCAGTTTGCACAACTTTACTTGCACGATCCTCAACATTTGGATGATGCAATTGATCAAAGAGTGGATTTCCTTAATTTACCTGCACACACGTCTGATGCCGAACTTCAGCAAATGAGACGACTATTAAGAAGGTTCCACGAGTTGCTACAACAGTGTAACAACTACGTGAGGGACTTCATGATCATTGCCGACCTTCCGCCAAGAACGTTGAATGAAAGGAAGTTGGTCATAGATCCCGATGCAATGCTCGCGGAGGAACATGCAAGGCGTTATAACCGTCCATCGGGGCTACATGAGGTCTGCGTTCTCATGGCGGATGACCTTCTTCCTCGTGAGCTCGAGATTCGTTTATGTGCCCCTCTTCCGGGTGAGTGGCCAACAGTTGTCGTTCCGAAGTGTTCCCGAGCGCACGACTGTTTGAGGTTTGTTTTACTATTCCCGGGAGGGATTGATAGTTGGTCTGTCCAACGTGCGTTGGAAGCTGGATGACCGTCGGGACTCAGTGCGAAAGAATACTATGCGTTTCACCTACACGAACACGATGGTGAAAGACCTTGCCTCCTTTATGCGGCGCGTCTTTTCCACGAGTTTTGTTGCATGGCTTACGCTAAGGTTGAATCCCTTCGCTTAAAATGGGTGAGATTCCGTCAGAAAGACTTGCGGTCGGAATATTATCAGAACCTGCGACAGGCTGTGGAACAAAATCAGCACAGTGATGGTGTTGGAACAAAAATACTTCTGCCCTCCATCTTCACCGGGGGACCGCGGTATATGACCGAAAGATACCATGACAGCATGGCAATCGTCAGACGGTTTGGATAACCCGATCTTTTTATCACTATGACGTGTAACACAAACTGGCCAGAGATCCAACAAGCGCTGTTACGGGTCAATGCACAAGCGACAGGCCGGATCTACTTGCCCGAGTGTTCAAAGGTTATCTCACCCAACTCATTGACAAGATTACGAAAAAACGGATCTTTGGGAGGGTCGATGAAATGTTGTATGTAGTTGAGTTCTAAAAAAGGGGTCTGGCGCATGCACACATATTGGTTATCTTGCATCCGGATGATAAAGTCTGCGATGCAGATGCTGTTGACAACGTGGTGTGTGCGGAGATTCCGCCTGAAGGGGAATTGAGAGAAAGGGTTGTCAAATTCATGTTGCACAACATTTGCGGTGAGGAGAAAAGCGATGCTTCGTGCACCGAGAATGGAAAGTGCACGAAAGGGTTTCCGAAAGAATTCATTTCCACGACAACCTTTAAAGATGAACAAACTTACCCTTCGTATAGGAGAAGAAAACCAAGTTACGGTGGCTTTACGGTCGTTCAAAATTGCGTTGTTTATGATAATTATCGAGTGGTCCCGTATAACCTATACTTTCTGATGAGGTGCTAACATCAAGGCGTGCAAGTATGTGTATAAGTACGTGTATAAAGGGGGTGATCGTGCCATGGTTTGCGAACAAGATAATAATGCACCTGTCGATGAAGTCAAATCCTGTCAAGATATGCGTGTTGTTGGTGCATGCGAGGCATGCTGACGTCTATTTGAGTTCGACCTTGCGGAACAATGACTCGCAGTCGAAAGATTGCCCGTGCATATCGAAAATATGCAAAAAGTCGTCTTCGAACCAGGCAGAGAAGATCATGTTGTTTTCCACGGACCTCCGAGCACAAAATTGGCGGCATGAATGGATCACAACTCTTTGAACGAACGTGTTCCTGAACACGAGCTTCCTTTATATTCTGAAATTATTAAGACTCATGTGTGGGATAATCAGCATAAGGTGTGGAACAAAAGAAAGTGTGCTTATCATGGTGCTCCTTTCGAAAAGATATCTCGATTGCATCATGTCAGGGTCACGGAAGGCGAACGCTTCTATCTCCGTATGTTGCTAAACCATGAACACTCTCGTGAAACACGCTCTTTTGCGGAAATTCGTACCGTCGATGGAGTCGAATACGATTCGTTTCGATCGGTGTGTCTTCGATTAGGACTTTTGCAAACCGATGATGCATATAATCAATGTATAGATACGGCCGCACTCCATTACATGCCTGTAGAGGTTCGTAAAGTATTCGCTATGCTTCTGTTGTTTGGGTCGGTCAACGATCCTGTTCAATCCTTCCAACGACATTGGGAAAAAATGTGTGATGATTTTTAATATCGTGCGGGCTCTCAGATTCTCCCTCCGAACACCGGGCTGTTAGTGCTGGAATTTCTCGAAATTGTAATGATGAGGGTACGATCTGTATGGGTGTCCTCACTCTTGCCGCAGATTTACGAAAATTAAATTACCCCCGGACGGTGGTTTCCAAAGGACTCAAATGGATGAGAAGGAGGGATGGTTCCCTATTTTGGGAGCAGCTGGCGGATTTCGTGGTAAACACGTTTTAAAATATGTGCAGTCGATCTGTGACACCTCGACAGTGTATACGGCGGCCGGGTTACTGGAACACTTGTCTTGTAACTGGGCGGACGAACACGTCTGGAGCGCTTTGGAAAATAGCAGCAGACTATCATCGACAGACGATCCTCATATATCACCTGACGACCAATATCGTAACGGCGGCCAAGGAAATCCACACAGGAGGTACCAAGGTACGACGTCGCAGTAGTAGGACGCTGTGTGTATGGTGTCGTTTCTTGCTGCTTCCCGCTTTTGAAATCCGCGGGTGTTAATTTATTCATGTACGTATGTGTTCGCACGGCTGTCCGCCACGCAATCGGCATGAGTCTCGGCTCTGGTAGAAAAGCTGTGAAAAATCAGTATAGGGGCTAGGAGCGAGGCCCGATCCATGCAGTGGGGCTAGGATCTGGGCCCGATCCAAGCTGTTCTTACTTTGTAGGAAATCCTTTTTGCGGAAGTTTTCTCAGTGGTAGACCCCGTAGTAGACGGGGTGGTAAGTATATAAAAGAGAGAGCTAGTAGGTTTCGTACCTCAATCTGAGTGGCATATTGAGTGGAAGGGTTGAGATGTTGGAGGAGGAGATGTTGTACGCCGTGATATTAATGCTCAAGGCATCTTCTTCTGAGTTTTTCTATGTGTGTTTAATCTAATCTCTCATGGACTACAACCCTTAGTTACGACCTTGCCATGACTCGGGAACGCGACTAAGGTGCCACTTCTACTACGGTAGAATTGAGTTTCCTCACTTACGCTTATCATTATTATGAATTCTATGTGAATTCGATGTCAATTCTATGTGAACTTATGCTCATTTATCGACGATGTGCATCGTAATATGTCTTTCATTATCATTTGAAATCTCGTTTTCTTCTTCAGTCTGGTACCATCTGTTAAGATGACCTGGATTTCTGTAGGTGTTTTAATATGAGCGTTAGTGACGGTTTCGCATGAGATCCCGATTGAGGGAATCTGTAAGCGGAGGTGGCACCATTGCACGGTGCATGTGGCATGTTTGCATCGAATACGGGCGCATTTTCTGCGCCAGTCTGTGTTTCAAACTCATTTGGAAACGCGCCTGCGCACGTGGTTCGGTCGTGTCAATAAGAAGCGAGACTCCCGGCATTGGTTGGAAGCACGCTGAATAGGCTGATCGGTGCACCTGTGGAGTCCGATCCGCGGTGCAAGCGGTCGTGGCACCTTAGAAGTCAAGTGTAAGTGAAGGTGTCCTCAGCATCGGCTACCCGGTGGTATGGTCACGAAGACCATACCTACCGCGGTATCGATTGAATCGACTCAAGCTGACCAGTTTGAGTTCAGGGTTGGCGTTGTCACGGGGATATGTGTAACCGCGTTGTGTGTGCTAATTCGCATGTACGCGAGGGGGAGATCTGGGAAAGCGAACAGTAGGAAGGGGAGGTGGTCCAATTGCGGGTGCTATTGGATGGAGAGCGGCGGTTTCACCTCCAACCAGCAGCCACCTCACGTGGCGCAGTATCCAGGAGGGAACGCGGCATCGAACCCGTTGCCACCTGGCGTGCCCCCTGGAGTGTCGTCGCAACAGCAGTATGCGACATATACCGGCGTGCACGTACCACCCGCTACTTTTCGACCGGCTTCTTTTCAACCGGCCAATATGCCTCTATCGTACCAAGTGCCGCAGCAAGCTGCGTGGAGTGCGCAACAATTGCTACCGGTGAACACATGGCAGAACGGGCAATGGACAGCGCAGGGTCATCCTCCGGGCCCAGCGCCGGCTCAAGTTACTGCTACTGTGCCTACTCCTGCTCCAGTATTCGCAGGTCATCCGCACGGTAGCAATACTCACAATGGTCATGGCGCCGGACCATCGACGGCAGGTGGAGGGGGTAAAGGACCTGCTGCTAACAATTTCCCAGGTCCGGGGAATCGAGCATACTTTACGAAGGAGTACATGGAGATTCTCGAGGGAATCAAGATAGAGAAGGTTCTCGATCAAGCCAAGAAGAAGACAGGCGTGCAGAAGAGAAGCGGTGTGAGGATTGTGGAGCTTCCGGATGAGGAAAGCCGCTCAGAGACACGTCCAAGCGAAAAGAGTGATGACATGAAGGCCTGGGTCACCTCCACTCTCGGGAACTCATTGAAACTTACCAATGAGAAACTCGAAGAAGTGGATCAGAAAGCGAAGATAACCACCTGCGAGCGAGCGGAATTGGAGCAATTGCGGTTGGAAAAACAGAAAGCTGAGAAAGCTGAGAAGGAGAGTAGGGAGTCTAGCAGCGAGAAAAGGAAGCGAAATGCAGCCCGCATACCGGTTGAAAACTCGCCGCCCGCCGGGCGGGTCAAGTCCAGGTCTTGTGCCAGCTCGAAGACACGGCCTAAACGGATCGACATCTCAGATGATGAAGGGGTCGCTGATGTTAAGCAAAATGTGGAACCAAAGATGGAGAGTTCCAGCGAGCTGGCAGATATCAAGCAAATGCTCGCTGCACTTCTCCAAGGCTGAGTAATCCCAAAGGCAAGAACAAGGTTGTTGAACCTCAATCTTCGACCCCTGTTGTAGTGGAGGATGACGAAGACATCGACCTAGCCCAGAATGCTAACGCTAATGAAGAAGAAGAAACTGACGATGGTGGTCTCGCCGCTTATATGAAGATTCGCCTCGAGTACTACAACTCACTGCAGTACACTAGAGTGCAGGAATTGTGCAAGGAGAAGAATGTGCAGTATTTTAGGAAAGAGATGGGAGCTTGGGAGCTCGCTCGTATCGATCTGCAGGAGTATGCAGACTCTCTGAGTGAAGGTCAACAGGGTGAATGCTCACGGAAACAAGGTGAACACACCGGTACCAATGAGCACGCATCCACCACCGAAGCCAATGCAGTAAAGGAAAACTGAAGGGGGGAAGTATGCGCTCCTTAAGACAGGCCATTGCCCGTATCGTCGCCTTGAAGCCTGATATTAGGACGTCTTTGAGGGTGATCCTGGATCAGATCCATGTTCTCATCATCCTTTTGGCATGTCTGCGAGGGGATATCAAGTGGGGTAGTGCTTATGTGAGGTTGTGGCTGGCGCTTCCGCAAAGCGACTGGAATCGACTTCTAGACGCAAGCAGCTGTGTATATGTGTTAATGTCACTCAACCACAAGCTTGTGTATATCGGAAAAATAGTTAGGTCACTGCACGACCGGTGGGGGGAGCACTGCAGATCTACGAATGGTAGTAGTAAGCAGAAGGTGCATTCATGGCTTCGGAAAGCTGGCATCGCTGCCTATGTTCCTATCCCAATTTGGTTCGGTAACGATTCTGCTCTAGACAACTTTGAATCAGCCACGATCAAAAGTTTTAATCCGGGTTTAAATTCACGTGGAAAAAAGAAACGTGGAAGAAAACGAAGACCCCGGTGTCAAAATAAAAAAACACACGTACTTACCCCGGTTCAAATGATGGAACCAGTGATGTTTTATTGTATGGATGCGGAATGTTGTAATGAACCTGACCTCCTTCGTGTATTAAGAACTTTGTCAAAAAGGGGTTTAACTAGGATAATCAGGATAAAGAACAATGCTGGTGCTTGTTGGTTGAAGGTTTGGCGTCTTTGTGCTCTACTGTATGGACACACGAAGATTGAAATTCACGGAAAAAATCTTTTTCTACTTGATGCCAAAGGTGCAATTGAAACCAGCGGGGACTGGGTGATTACTGAACTGATTCGTACTCGAACAAAGACTGAACAAAAGAAGGTCGAATTAATCTCTCTCCTAAGGGCTCCCTCGAAACGAAGAGACCTGTTCAAAAAGAGCTTGGAACAATTACTTGAACTAAATAACGCAGTAAAGACAATCAATCAGCACCGTGGGCGGCAGATCGTCCGTGGACTCCTTACTAATGCATGTAAAAAATATTTTGGTATCAACCCGCGGGCCTCTGTGACTATCAAAATTCTCTTTTGTACTACGATTGACAAACAGAAAGTTGAAGACTGTGTGAAAAACTGGATCAGTGGTCACATTCTACCCAAACGGTTGGCTGACGTGTATGTAAAAAGAACTCGGGCCGTTTGGTTGAAAGCAAAGTCAGTCGGAGATCTTTTACATAATCAGAAACACTTCGCACATAACAGCGAGTTCAACTGTGTGTGCGATGGTTTCGATTTGCCTCGAATCAATGGGCATGTCGCCGTCAAGCTCAGTGAAGTTGGGGGTATTAAGCCATTACTTCATAATGCGAAAAATATATCATTTCCAGGATCTGTTGTCAACTAGGAGTGCCTCAACCGGGCCTGCAACGAGTCGCTTGATGGGCTCCGAAAAACCGGTCTGACTACCGAGATGGTGAGAATTCACCTGGGCGTTAAGCAAGCATTCGAAGGCCTTGTCCTTGCCCCATTGGACCGCAACCCAAGCGAAACTTGGATTGAATGTCCAAAACGGTATGAACAAGGTCTTCAAAAAATGTTTTTGAGCAATAATAACTACGAGAGGGTAAATAATGATAAAGGGACGGTCCTGCTTGACATGAAGACGCGATATGTCGATGCTGGCTTGTTTGACATCGCCAACTGGGACAGGTTCAGCAAGCTGCAATATGCCTATATAATGGCGAAAAAGAAGGACAAGGAGAAGAGGAGACCTATTGTACCTTCGTTCCAAAGCCCTTTTCGATCAGCCTCTGGTATGCTTTCTATTGCTCTCAATGAATTAATCAGGAGAGTTAAAAACCCGCATTTTAACCTACGGGCAATTACTGATCTGCGTCTTGAAATTGAGAAGGTCAACAAGAAAGGAGAAAACCCCTCTCTCGGTCTGGTTACTCGAACGTACGACATTAAGGATATGTTTACACAACTGCCGCATGCCCTAATTTACCAGGCAGTCGAATGGCTGATACAACAGTTTTCAGACCAGGGCATTCGTTGGATTCGGATCAACAGCAGGAAGTGTTGTGCTACATTTGAGAAATCCCATGGGGAACCAGGGTGGAAATCAATACGTCTAAGCAAACTGTTAACATTGACCCGATTTTAGCTCGACAACTCGGTGTTCTTGGTATCCGATGTGGTCCTCTCACAAAAACAAGGGATCCCAATGGGTGGCCGGGCCAGCCCGCCCCTTACGTGCGCAATGTGTATGTTCTCTGAGTACAAATTCTTGAGCTCCCTTGGGGCTGATATTCAGTTAATTTCTGGGAAGCGCTACATCGACGATCTACTAATCTTGTCGTTTTTTCAAAAGAGGAACCCAAAGGGGCTGGCTAAGGCACACGCTCGGCTGACCCAGATCTCGAGGTGCTATCCGGAAGAACTAACGTTGGAACGAACAGATTCCGAGTCTGGGATCTTGGATTTCCTGGAAACCAGACTAATCATTTCTGAAACTAGGGCGCATATATTATCTGCTCACAACTTCAAGAATGTTGGGACTATATGGTCCCCATACCCATTGAAGTACCATACGTACACAGATTTTGACTCGTTTGGGCCTAGAAGGGCAAAATTCGTCGTGGTCGCCAACACCATCCTTCGGATTTCTCGAAACTGTAATAATGAGGGTACGATCTGTATGGGTGTCCTCACTCTTGCCGCAGAATTACGGAAATTAAATTACCCCCGGACGGTGGTCTCCAAGGGACTCGAATCGATGAGAAGGAGGGATGGTTCCCTATTTTGGGAGCAGCTAGCGGATGTCGTGGTAAACACGTTTTAAAATATATGCAGTCGATCTGTGACACCTTGATAGTGTATACAGCGGCCGGGTTACTGGGTCACTTGTCTTGTAACTGGGCGGACGAACACGTCTGCAGCGCCTTGGAAAATAGCAGCAAGCTATCATCGACAGACGGTCCTCATATATCACCTGACGGCCAATATCGTAACGGCGGCCAAGGAAATCCACACAGGAGGTACCAAGGTACGACGTCGCAGCAGTAGGACGTTGTGCGTATGGTGTCGTTTCTTGCTGCTTCCCGCTTTTGAAATCCGCGGGTGTTAATTTATTCATGTACGTATGTGTTCGCACGGTTGTCCGCCGCGCAATCGGCATGAGTCTCGGCTCTGGTAGAAAAGCTGTGAAAAATCAGTATAGGGGCTAGGAGCGAGGCCCGATCCATGCAGTGGGGCTAGGATNGTCTCGGCTCTGGTAGAAAAGCTGTGAAAAATCAGTATAGGGGCTAGGAGCGAGGCCCGATCCATGCAGTGGGGCTAGGATCTGGGCCCGATCCATGCAGTGGGGATAGGATCTGGGCCCGATCCAAGCTGTTCTTACTTTGTAGGAAGTCCTTTTTGCGGTAAGTTTTCTCAGTGGTAGACCCCGTAGTAGACGGGGTGGTAAGTATATAAAAGAGAGAGCTAGTAGGTTTCGTACCTCAATCGGAGTGGCGTATTGAGTGGAAGGGTTGAGATGTTGGAGGAGGAGATGTTGTACGCCGTGATATTAATGCTCAAGGCATCTTCTTCTGAGTTTTTCCATGTGTGTTTAATCTAATCTCTCACGGTTGAACTACCTGGAAAGGAGGCCTGAAAATATATGCACCCGTTAACCATCTCTTGGGAAAATGAAAAGGGAGGCGAAAATATTAGTAATTGTTAGAACCTTATGTTAGCCCGAGTTCCATTAGTAGCCTCAACCGGGCACATCAAACCAATGGGGCAAGGGGCAAACATGTAATGATCTCCCTTCAATGACAGAGCTAAACTATTTTCTCAAAGTTTGACATATTGTTGTGCTTGCATCAGACCTGTATAAATCTTTATAAGTAATGGTAGATAGATCATGCATTCTAAACGAAATTGTATATTTAATAACACATGAGTTATTAATTGTATAAAAGACAACACCATGTAGGCGGCAAAACAACGTAATTCATATACAATTTAATGTTATACGGAAATATATACATATACAGGGTAACAAGCGTTCGGGACGGGCCGAACGCCCGAACCCGAACGACCGAACGTATGGGACCCCTTGGGGATGTGTTCGACCGTTCAGGCCGAACGCGGACCCAAAAAAAAAAAATCAAAAATCAAAAAGATTAAACAATTAAAAAAAAATAATATGTTATGAAGAAAAATAAACTGAACAAGATTTGCCTGAGCATAAAATCCAAATTTCTTACCAAAATTTAAAATACAAATAAAATACGAAAAACAAATACTAAAAAAAAAAACAAATAGTGAATGCACGAACACATTTTCGACACCGCCATCTTTGGCGATTTTTTTTTTTTTTTGGCAGAGCTAAATGCCCTGAAAATTTACAGATGTGTGCTTTACATAATGCAAAACCTGTCTCTTATACACATCTAGATGTGTATAAGAGACAGGTACTGGTGGTTTAAAAAAAAATAATAAAATTAAAATTAAATTTAGCGAATGCGCCAACATCATTTCGACACCACCATCTTTGGCAATTTTTCATTTTTTTTTGGCAGAGCTAAATGCCCTGAAAATTTACAAATGTGTGCTTTACATAATGTAAAACCCACTAAAAAAGTAAAAAAAAATAATAAAATTGTTTAGACCCCGAACTAAAATGAAAACAATAAGTAAAAAGAGAAAAACAACATGGGCGAGCATGTTTTGATACCGTCATCTTTGGCGATTTTTAATTCTTATTTGGCGAAGCTAGATGACTTGAAGGCTGGTACCAGTACCCCGAGATTTTTCTTTTCAGCTTGTTACTGTTGCGAGGCTACGCCCGCTTAGCCCTATGGGGCCCTATCTGCAACAAGCGCAGCCTCTCAACGCACGCGCGGCTCATAAAGTTCTTAGTCGAGCAAGTGTCGTAATAGGCCCCGGCCTTGCGGCCTCCTATGACTACCTCGCTGACAAACATTTCACTCTTAGGGGCTTTAACTAACGCCGTCCAAGAAGCTAGTAGATCTGATCTAGACCACTCATGCTCTAGCTCCTCTAAGGATTCAAACACATTCATCGAACAGAGGGTCGATGGGTCTGAATGTGTTTGCGGGACGACTGAAGAGTCTGTAGCTTGGGCCATCTCTCGCGAAGGTGAGGGTGAATCCACCATCGCGACCCTAGTAGGAACAGCTACTATCCCTACTGGCCGGATGTGTTTCCCGGAGCACTGCCTGAAGAACTAGCAACGTTGCTACCAACGGTTTGAGAGGATCCTACTGCCGACCCCATAGTGGGCGGGATCTTCTCGGTGACCGTCCTATTGCGACACTTGTACATGCTATGACCATATTGGCCACACTTGATACAAGCTTGCCGTGCCCACCGATCTCTCCACACGTCCTCAGCTAGACCTGCTTTCTCCCATGGAGGAGCATTGGGGTCTGTTTTACTCTTCGACCGGGATCCCCTAGGGCGTCTACCGGTCCCTTTACCTTTTTGCTGTACGGCGGCGACTACTCCACCCTCTGAAGTTTCGCCACTCGCCTCTGCACCTACTCCCTCCTGGAAGGCGTCCAACTCGATGGTTGATCCATCGTTGTCGACAAACATGATGCGACCTTTCGCCTTCCAGTTGGGAGGCAGTGTCTTCTTTCTCCCTTCCGTAGTGGGTGYCTGTCCATGCCCTATCTTTGCTTCTAGGTCTAGGGCCACCTTGCTGAACGAAGGAAAGTTGTGCATATTRATGTTGGCCTCTTTTGCCAACTGGTTCCTGAGCGGCAGAGATAAGGTCCTCAGGTACGAAGTTAGCAGGACCTGGGGGTCATAGCGTACCCCTGAAACACAAATCAAACGCTCTACAGCGTCGGTGGCATCCCTTACTGACTTAAACTGYCGCGTGTGCAGTGTSAGGATCGCATCAGTGGCCTTTTGAGCCTCCTGCGGATCATGCCACCTGTCTTCCACCATTTTCAGGAAGTCCTCCAATTTTTGAGAGGCTGCCCAAGAGCGGAAGTCAATGACCGTACCCCTGGAGTTGCACTAACCCACTCAACCATCTCGCTGCACTACCCTCCAGGTAGGAAGCAGCCACAAGCACTTCTTCGTGTGGCAAGGTGAGTTTACACCTGACGTAGACCGCCACTGCCCTCAACCAAGTGTCGAGGTCTTCGCCTCTCTTGTCCCCTGTAAAAGGTTTGGGAGCGGCGATGGCCGTCTTTGGAACCCACTGACTTTGTCCCGGTCCCTGCACCAACCCGAGCTGTGGACCCGGCGATACAGGTTGTTGTGCTAGTTGTTGGGGCTGTGTGCCCTGAGGTTGCACTTACTGTGAGACAGCAGGCTGCGTGGTGACTGCAACCTGTGACGGACTTGGAGTAAACACTGTTTGAACAGGAACCTGCAAACTACTCCCTGCTGTTACCCCTCCTGACAGAGGCATGCCCAGGGAAACGATAGCAACCGATGAAGGGGCTACTTATGGGGATACCCCAGTCACCGGTGGAACAGAAAGAGGAGGATATGGCACGGGTCAGGCACCAGGCTCTGCTGGTGATGGTGCTGCCTGAACACGGCCTGCCAACACGGCTAGGCTTTGTTGAATGTCCTGAAGGAGGGTAGTTTGATGCTCCTGCATCTCAATTACGCCTAGCAGGGCCCTCCTAACTACCTTTACATCCTCATCCATATGCGTCAGGTCCATCGTCTCTAACTCCTCTATGTCTGCCCCTCTCTGTTGCATCCTGACTCTTCTTCTAATCATCATCTCTTTCTCCCTTTTTATCTTTCCTAATGCCTGTTGTAGCTGTGCCTCTTGCAGGGATGCCTGCTGGATGGCGACATCCTCTGGGGACAACACCGCGGGCTGGCTTGCCATTAAGCCAGTGGACTGACTCACGGTCTGCACGACCGTGGACCCGGCAGTACCTGAACTTCAGGCTTGGGAAGTCTTCTGCGCAGACGTGCTCATGGTCGTGGTAGCCATGGCTGCTATACCACTGGCCTCGCTAGCAAATACCCTGCTGGCCTCGGCTGCTCTAGCTTTCCTTTCCCTTCATCGGCGGAACAGTTCCCTATCACCCTCCGGTCCTAAAGACACATGGGATACCGGTCCTCTAGCCGATCGTAAGGTCCTGTGGTCGTCCTCTCCGGTGTCCTCCACGTCGCTCATAGGCTACAGCACTGTGCACTGTCCACACTAGATCATTCTAGATGCCTACCGCAGCTTAGTACACAGACCAACTAATTAGTGGTGGCTTTCAAAACAGATCTCAKTTGGGGTCAACAGGTAAGTGAGGTTCCTATTGTCAATACTATTTTTAGCAAGATTAGTTCCCAAACAGAGAAAACATCAGGAATAAATAATATTCTAAACTAATGTTGTCTGTCAGATGTCACATGGCTGTCCATCTAACTAATCAATAATAAAAATAATGTTGACTGACCGGGTCTGTTCACTGTTTGGAATTTAAACCCGAACTTATCATCTGAAATCTACCCCTCCCTTTGTTCTTCCCAATGTCACGGTGTCACGTTTCTTTGCATCAGAAGCCAAGCGTGTCTCAAAGGTATGCAATCCGGTCCCACCCCTGTGCCCCGGGTTATCGTCGAGCAAGGCAGCCACAACACTCTTATTTACCCTCGTACGCCGACGAGCCCTCTATTCGGATGATCTGGCTGATCAAGAGGCAATTTAATGTCCGCCCCCAAGTGACATCAGGAATTATTTTACGTCGCAGCAGGACGACGATCACAACCAGAGCAGAGCCGAGTCCCCAACCAGAAATGTTTATAGACGGTCTGGTAAGCGTCTGTAGAGGCTGCCACACTCGAGTTAACCCCTATCATGCGCAAGCAGCAGAACCAACGACTTGCATCGTAGCACGCGTGTACTACACCCAATGGGTTGGCATGGTGACTGTGACCCAGTGCTTCGTCCAGGGCCCTTCAAGAAGCTCCGCCCGTCTCCCCCCAGATGCTCCACATGAACAATCACGACTCTCAAGGTTGAGCGCACACGACACCTCACGATGAGAGGACTCTCAAGACAGAACTCACAACCTCACGGTAAGAAGTGATGAAGAGGGTACATAAGGTTAAGAGCAACGTACCTCGTTCATGCTGCCCCCAACCACAGAGATAATCTCACCAGATGACCTGAAGATGATTGCGATGACCAGTCACAGCATCGGCACAACCAGCATTTCGCCGTTCCACCTCAGCCTTAATCACCAAACAGATAGTTCTCATCACACTGCGAATACCCAATATTCACACCTTAGCCTTCCAGGCGATGCCCCTCACCACCTGGGTCGCCTTCACACTCGTCTCCACCCTCCTCACTACACACCACTTACGGCCAAACTCTCCCAGCGGACCGCAAGTATGTACCATATAAGGCAGAACACAAGCGCCAGATGAGCGCAATCGTACCACAGCTCCGATACCAAATTGCAAGGAAGATGAGCATTAGCGAACTTCAACAATCAAACAGCGTATGGTAGTTAATGACTACCTCCATGATGTAGAGTATGTTTTCCCGTACGCGGGAGGGAACTTGAGACATCGTGTCTCGTTCCTGGTTAGTGACGAGCTCCCAATGGACATGTTACTAGGTATGTACTACCTCTCTGTAGCACAGCCATAGTTTGACTGAGACCAAAAAGTGGTCAAACACACGTTGCTAGGTGGAGGGACCGCCAGATTACAAAAGTTCAAAGTTAGTAGTCTGATTGAGTCTTATGGGTGCATGTGTGCGGCCGCATTCTATAATTATTATAAGCAAAATCAGGAGGAGGGTATGTACTTAGTCTATGTCTCTGCTGCAAGCGAGCCGGTGAAAATGCCACCAGAAATAGAGGGAGCAGTTGCTAAGTACCCTGATCTATTTGAAGAGCCGACAGGGATTGTTGAGAGGGAGGTCGTCCACGCGATAGAGATTATCCCAGGGTCTAGTATTCCAAGGGGTAGGATCTATCGGATGTCTCCAGGCGAGCTTGATGAGCTTCGCCGCCAACTCAAGGAACTCGTAGAGAAGGGTTGGATCCGGCCGAGTGTCTCTCCTTATGGGTCTCCAGTTTTATTCGTGCCTAAGAAGAAGGAGGGAACTCTAAGGATGTGCATTGAYTATAGGGGCCTCAATGCCATCACGGTGAAGAACAGAGAATCCCTACCGCGCATCGATGATCTGTTAGATAGAGTGCAAGGGTGTCGGTACTTCAGTAAAATAGATCTGAAGTCCGGGTACCATCAGATTGCAATCCGGCCCGAGGATCAACACAAAACCGCATTTCAGACCAGGTACGGTCTATACGAGTTTGTGGTGATGCCTTTTGGTCTTTGCAATGCTCCTGGCACCTTTCAGCACGCTATGAATCGGATATTCCATGACTACTTGGATAAGTTTGCCGTTGTGTACCTCGATGACATACTTATTTTTAGTAAGACTGTCGAGGAACACGTAGCACACTTAGACAAAGTTCTCAGTCTCCTGCGACATCACCAGTTCAAGATCAATGGTGAAAAGTGCGAGTTTGGCCGCACCCGTATCTTGTACTTAGGGCATGAGATCTCCGCGGAAGGGTTGAAGCCCGATGACGCGAAGGTGGCCAGCATTCGTGATTGGCCACGTCCTCAGTCTGTGACTGAGATGAGATCTTTCTTAGGAATGACAGGCTACTATAGGACTTTCGTTAAGAACTATAGCATTGTGGCCGCTTCTTTGACTGATCTGACCCGCCTTGACACCCCTTGGGAGTGGACAGATGAGTGCGAGGCTGCTTTCAGACATCTGAAGCATGCATTGACGCACTATGAAGTCTTGAAGCTACCCGATCCTGATAAGCCATTTATAGTAACCACGGATGCTAGCCAATATGGCATTGGCGCCGTGCTTGCGCAGCAGGAGGGGCCAAAGTTGAGGCCAGTAAAGTACATGTTCAAGAAAATGCCGTCTCAAAAGTTGGCTAAGTCCACTTATGAGAAGGAACTCTATGCGGTGTACAAGGCTCTCACCCATTGGAGACAATACCTCCTTGGGCGGTTCTTCATCCTCCGGACTGATCATCAGACCCTGAGATGGATGAGAACACAGCCGGTACTCTCTGACGCTCTCAAGCGTTGGATCGAAGTCATTGAGCAATATGACTTTGACCCTCAGTATCTCAAAGGGGAGTACAACAAGGTTG